ATATATATAGATAAATCTAAGGGCTACTGCAAAAGATTTCACCAAATACAATTTTATTCTAAATTTATCTTAATTTTATATGTATTCTTAGAATTCATGAACTCCACCCCCCACCCACGAGCAAGGTATATACAGCCTCACCTACATTCCGATTTCACGTGCTATTATTAAGCGTACGTGACATAAAACAGTTAATGAAATAAAATATATAACTTTCAATGAATGGATTCAATAATAGCTGCATATACATGGTTGGTAGCCTACAATAGCCTATATAGTATATGTATTAAATATTTCGCGTGTGCTTAAGGACGCCTACGCCTTCGAGAGGGGAGAAAGAAACAGAGAGAGATGGGAAAGACAGCGAGAGGGGGAGAGAGAGAGAGAGAGAAACTGCATAGAGTGGAGGATCAGGCGCTCAAATGGGTTATTGCGCACACAGCCGGCTGAACTATAGCGGCGACTCCAACTACGACCCAAGTGTGAGGGCGCCCTGTTACCGCGCGTGAGACGGCGATAAAGGAGAGCTTGCACCGCTGCGGAAAACTTGCGTATATATTTGATTTTCCCCTCTAATTGAAGACATAAGTGATGCTCGGTATGTGGATCGACTCTGAGGCTGCATGAACTGCGATTGTTCCATCTGAGAGCAGTTTAATGTGCTCTTTATTTCAGAGGATTACTCCTTCATTCACTAACTATGGGTAAGTCATTGTGTTCTTCACAATTTACTGACACAGTTTCTCCTTCTTGATGCTCCGTAGCCAAGATAACAGCTATTATCAGTGTATAGCCTACTGACAGATGTAATAGTTCAAAAAACTGAATATCTTTCATTTATAGAATAAGGAAGGCTACTATTTATTCAAGCATTCATTTAAATCACCTGTTTAACTCCACTTCTTTCTCTGTGTCTGAATATTTCAACACGTTTTCACCTTAAAAGTAGCCAACGTCAGACTGTTTAATTCTTCATGAGGCAGATCGCTCTGGTGTGTCAGACACCAGACCTCAAGCTGCTCCTCACTACACCATCTCCTGTTTGAAGAATGAATTACTCACATGTTCTTATTCAAACGTCTTTGAACAAACACATTCTCGAAAATCAAGTCATCCCTTTGATTGCATGTGCCCCACTCTACCCCCAACAGGTTCTGTGATGTTGGACTGGAGGTTATCATGTCTTCTTCTGCAGACAGCTGTTTTGCTGCTGCTCAGCAAGGGGGAGAGGATGTGCCCTGCGAGTTGTCGCTGCGAAGGGAAGATTGTTTATTGCGAGTCTGGCATCTTCCAAGGCATCCCAGAAAACATCACCACGGGATGCCAAGGTCTGTCTCTGCGCTATAACAGCCTGCTGGTTCTGTTGCCGTACCAGTTTGCTCACCTCAATCAGGTTATCTGGCTTTATTTGGACCACAACTCCATCAAAGATATAGATGCTTTAGCCTTCCATGGTGTGCGCAGGCTCAAAGAACTCATCCTCAGCTCCAACAAAATAACTCATCTGCACAATAACACATTCAGCGCAATACCAAACCTGCGGAATCTGGACCTGTCCTATAATCAGCTGCAGTCTCTGCAGCCAGGGCATTTTTATGGTCTGCGCAAGCTACAAAATCTCCACTTTCGATCTAATGGCCTGAAGCAGATCCTCATTCGTACTTTTCTTGAATGCCGCAGCCTGGAGTTTTTGGACTTAGGTTACAATCGCTTGCGGAGCCTCACCCGCACAACGTTCTTAGGGCTGTTCAAGTTGAAAGAACTTCATTTAGAGCACAATCAATTTTCCAGGATTAATTTCTTCATTTTCCCGCGCCTTACCAACCTGCAGGCTCTTTATTTGCAATGGAACCGCATACGATCCATGAATCAAGGCGTGCCTTGGACCTGGCACAAACTCCAGAAATTGGACCTGTCAGGGAATGAAATCCAAATGTTGGACCCAACGGTTTTCCAGTGTATGCCGAACTTACAAATACTCAACCTTGAATCGAACAAGCTCAGCAGCGTGCCTGTGAAGGCCGTGGCAGCGTGGACCTCACTAACTACCGTCAGCCTGGCCGGTAACGCCTGGGACTGCAGCCCCAGCATCTGCCCTCTCATGGGATGGCTCAAAAACTTCAGAGACTCCAAAGACATCACTATGATATGCAGCAGCCCCAAGTCTGTGCAGGGCGAAAGAGTCGTGGATGTGGTGAAGAATCACTCGACATGTGCGGACGTGTCTAATGATTTCTCAACCACTTCTCTCATTGTTCTGACTTCCACCCAAATTGGGAACACAACTCACCCTGACCTTACAACTGACCCTGGTACCGAGTCACCTGTACAGAGGTTAACCCCCTCGCCTGTCCGTCCTAGTGCGACACACAGAAAGACAACAGAGTCCACAAACATGAGCTCCACCTCACCCATCTCCCCTGAACCCCCTACATTGTTTATCCCAGAGCTACACTTTGAACATATGGCTTTCCATAAAATCATTGCAGGCAGCGTAGCCCTGTTCCTGTCAGTGGCATTGATCCTGCTGGTTATTTATGTCTCGTGGAGGCGCTACCCCAACACCATGAGGCAGCTGCAACAGCACTCGGTCAACCATAAGCGCAGGAAAAAGGCCCGTAAGCAGGAGCAGGACCTTAACTCTCAGCTGCAAGAGTACTATCTGAGCTACCATTCCAACTCGGAGACAATGGACTCTTTGGTGAATGAGACAAGGCCGTGCACGTGCACCATATCAGGATCCATCGAATGTGAGGTCTGAGCGGCCAACTCCACCTTACGAGACTAAAAGTGCAATTGCTAAGCAGAGGTAAATGGTCTTTCCACAAGATGAAGGGCTTTTATCTCTAATGTGAGATGACAGATTCTGTAGCACTGAATGAAATACTTGGGGGCATAGTACAATATCATTATGTGCACAGAAGAAGAAGACTGGAATGGAGAGATGTATTTGGAGCTAATTATCACTCTGGCTGACACGAGAACAGTGACGGCGTCAGCCAGGTACTGTGTACAATCTAACGTACCGCCTGGACCACTGCTAAAGTAGAAGTGAGCACTGTAGAGAGACTGACCTTATTCTTAGTCAAACTGTGTTGTCATAGAACATACAAACCAACAAACCACTTTTTACTTGCTAGTTTAGATTTTTATTATGTAGCTTGTAAAGGATTTAGGAAGTATGTGTCTGTGTGTGAGTGTGTTATGGGGATGATCTGATAGTGTCCTGGTTTACTGACTTCTGGTTGGAAGAGTTACAGTGTTGCAACTTATTCTCACAATATACAGTTTGTCCAGTTAAACTCTGCTGCGTTTTAGCATATTAGTGCAGCAACTAGAAGTAGCAATACCACTATGAGTGGGGGAGCAATCGTAGAGAGAGCGTCTTGTCCTGAGATCTTTTGCATGAAACCAATCTCCTTACTACAAGATGCTCTAATGTTCTAATTGATGATAAACTTGCATTTCGGTTCATTGTGGTACATGCTAAACAAACAAATTATATTCAAGTCTAATCTCAGGATTGATGTTTTCCAAGCTGTAAAATAAAATCTGTCCGGTCCAACGAGGGCCTTGATGTGTCAGAAGTAACAATGTTGATTTTCATAAAGAATTTTGTATTCCTATCATTATGATTATGCATTGTTTGTGTAAAGACATAAGAAAATGGGGACTAGCCATTCTATGTGATAATGACTGTGTAATTAAAAGATTCCCGTGATAATTGATGAAAAACTTGTGTGTGATGAGAATATCGTCGACTGGTGCATCACACGGAGAGAAAAGAAAAATCCCTCTCTAAATCCATGCATTGTGCTCTTGATGTTATGCAATTCATTGGATTTGCTGTTGCATGCAGGGGAGCTGACATATTTTCCATCACGCATCTGGTTTTCTGGCTCTTTTCTCTCTCTTCTTTTCCATCCCCTCCTGGTATTGACAACAGTATTGATTGTGTGTATGGTTACACATCTCGAACTAGGGGGGCCCCCAATAGAAATGAGCTGTGTTATACATAAGGCGATGCCATTCTTTGCTTGTACGTGAGACAAAAAGGAATTCCAGTCCAGTGAAACCAAACATAATATAAGAATCTCTTTTTATACAGCCATGTATTCTCTGTCAGTTCTGCGTTATTGTTCTTAAAAGAAAGGGAGAATAGAGGAAGGCTACTGAGGGACGGTGGTGTTACGGGTCAAGGCAGTTTTACTATTATCACCCACTTTGGTCTGTCTTCTCCGCGTCCCCTCCTGCCTTTTCTCCCTGCCTTATTACTCTTTTTCCGCAGCTTTCTCACTGTGAGGAGAGAAATTTAACCTGCACCAGGGGACATATGTGCATGAAGGATTAGGCAGTGGTGGTGCGAGTATGTAAGAGCTATCAACAAGGTGTTTTTATTCCTGTGTGAGAAAAACAATCATCTATTGCTCACCACAGTCCTTCCCCCACAGCTGTCAGTTGTCCTCTCAGACCTGTTTTGAAGTGAAGACATCTGATTCCTCTTCCTTTAGCTGGTTCACGCATCTCGTGTGGAGTAAAGTTTGACTGGTCAAAGGTTGTTCAGATAAGGATTTATGATCTCCCACAGTTTACTTTCTAAACATGACTCAGGCTTTCTTTTGCTCCCAGGCAGGCATGGAGGTTCGCTGCCAACAGAATTTATATCCATATTTAGTTTCTCGTACTTGCATATATGATGAATTTCTCTCGAGGGCCAATGGGAAAATCTGTGAAGGCATACAAAAAATGTAATATGAACAGAACAAATGATTAGTTGATTCAGCGTTGGCAGATATTGTAATTAGTGTTTGATTTGTCATATTATGACTGATGAAAAGCAATTCCCCGTGTTTTGAAATCTTTTGGTGTTGTGTAGCTGAGAGGCGAATGCTGATTAGAGAGCTGTGATCTGCACCTTGTAGAACATTATTGAGGATATTTGTTTGAATGAAGAATTGTGGAGTGCACACTATTGACTTAGTAAACAATGCACAAATAGAACCACACTCCACTGGAATCTGAAAAACTACTGTATGTTCCAAGAATTCAAAATGTCTTTTTGAGTTAATCAATGTATAAAACCACGATACTTCAAGCGGATGAGCAAGGCCAAAAAAACAGAATCAGTCAAATCTTGCCTGGAAACATCCAGAAATACAGTGTGTGCTTCCTGTAAACACTCACTGTGAGGGGCAACCTGCTCAGCCCTCACTGGCAGGCATGACATTTTGATTTACATCTCTTATTAGGGATCTTTCTCAGGTAACATGTGTGATATTCTGCTCATCATTGCCAAAGGTTTTGCCAGAGATTTAAAAGGTAGGCATACAAATATTATCAATATACCCCCAAATACATATTTTCTTTTTATCCGGTTGCCTGATTTCCATTTATGAGGGAAGTACTTTAAAGTATTTGTTCACCATTTTGGTAAATAAGCTTATTTGCTTTCTGGCAGGTAAAGAGATGAGAAGATTAACATCACTCTCTTGTCTGTCCAGTTAGCTGGTTAGCTTAGCATAAAGACTGGAAACAGGAGGAAACAGCTAGCATGGCCCTCTGCAAATACTACAAAATCTTTTAAATCTGCCTTGTCCGTGCAAAAACCAAAGTGTAAAAGCAAGAAGTTGAAGTGTATGTACTGGACTATTTTGTTGCCAGGAACAATAACTTGCTGGAGTCTCTGTTGGTTGCCTGGCAACCTCAATGTGAGGACAACACTGCGGGACTCTTTCTTGTTCGGACTAAACAAACCAGATAGTAATAAGTGACGGAGTGTTACCTTTGGGACAGAGACATGAAAGCTTTTTACTCTTCCAAGGCTGTAGCTTCATATTTAGCGAACAGACAGAACAATTCCTTGAAGCAAAGATATATTTTGAGAAAAAGCTATCAGCAAATCAATTGTGCTAATTTTCTAAAAATGCTCTTAGCTCCTTTCCTTTCATTATTATTCTCTGCGTTTGCACTACCATCCACTGAAAGGGATTTTTTCAAGGATGACCGAGCCAGAGAGGTCTTAATTTGGACAAAAAAAAGCTCACTAGACAGAAAACTCTTTCATTCTTTCTTTCTGTTTCTATCTTTTTTTGTGTCTTTCTTTCTTCCTTAACAACTAGCAGCATCATATCTACTCTAATATGAATGGAAGTATCCAACATGTAGTACGTTTAAGCAAGCTAGTCAAAAATAATGAGTTGCGGCAGTCAAATTTAAATGATTAACGTCAGCTGAAAATAGAGTCATTGAAGTGTGAAAGTATTGAGAGACAGTTGGCACAGTTGAGAAAAGTTGATCAGTCTCCTGCACTCCAAAACAGGATTTCTACGTCACCCCACCTTTTGTGCAAATTAATTTGAATGCTAATGCTTTTGTTACGTGTCCCAGTGGACCCTCAGAGGAAGAGAAAATGGCCTTGCTGCTTCTTTGTCCGTGTCAAAGTGTTGGTGGTGATGAGAAAGACCGTAGAAGTTTTTATTTTCTCACTTCACAATCCATTACTCAGTTGAAACGGGGACATACACAGGATGCTAATGAGAAATTGCTCTGCGTTTGTCAAAGCAGTGGGAAGTAGGAACTTCAATCAGTCAACACAATTGTTCATTGTGTGGTCGTGTCTGGTCAATATCTTCATTACAGTTGTGATTTGTGTCCCTGTAATGATTCCGGGAGTCAAGTTTTTTCACAGTAATATAGTTTTCCATTACAGTAGAATGCTTTCAGTGATATTGTACGACATTATAAGAACCAGAAGTGAAAAGATTGTTCCAAACATGTAGTGTGATATATTACATTTTACGACTTACTTTCTCATCCATATTAAGTGATCCCAGAGCAGCTTTCGTTTACTTAACATCAGAAAATCATTTGGAGCATAAAAGCAGTTAACAGCGTGACCTTTATAGCTGCATTTTTACTTCCACTTGACAAAATGTCTGCTACATTTAGAGCCTTAAATCCCAGTTGTATATATTGTGGCCACAGATTTAGAACTTAGATAAAGTGATCTTGGATCTCACACTGCTGTGCATGCACCACTGTATGATGTAACAGTAATATAGTGCTTTCTTTGGAGAGCTTTCATTGTTTCTCTGATTTATTTCCCCTGATTCTTCAACTGCTCTGCTTCCCACACAAGGGAAATCAACCAAAAGCCAACAACAATTAAATGTATAAGATTTATAAGCAGTGCACCTAGTCATGTTGTTGTTTCCTTAGTAATAAAACATCATGGTCTCTATGATAAAGACAGTGTGGCCGTGTCCATGGAGGATCCACTTTAGAGATAAAAAGGAAAGTCATTCAGTTCTGTGAAAAGAAATGTCCTGTGTTTGGTAACCTCACACACACACACACACACACACACACACACACACACACACACACACAACTCAAACTATCCCTTCAAAGACAGTCTTGTGATTTGACAGCTGCCTATGTGACTGACAGCAAGCTGACTTGACAAAACCGGAGCACAAACTAACAATAATACAAAAAAATGATGTGAATCAGGTACACATCCTGGCCAGATTCTTTCCATTGTTGTTGCTGTTCTTTTAAATCCCGAGGAGCTGAAATACAGTAAAATCTGTATTTCATTTGGAGGCAGATTGGGTTTTAAACTTCTGAAACACATTCAAAATCCCAACATGTAAATGTTTTGATTCCAACATACTGCATGTAACAGCAGAAGCACAAACACTGCCGTTATAAACGGCTGTAAAATATGGCTCTTATTAAATTTTGTTATGAGTAGGGAGTCCTTCTGACAGAAGTCCCTCAGGCTCAATGCTGTGGGCTTCTCTGCAACTGCATGAATGATCGCAGCGTTAGAGCATCAGGGGCATACAGTGCCACAGTGTTCTGAAACACCCTAATAAAGATAAAAAGTACCGAAACCATCTTTATTACCACAGAGACTCCACAGTGAACGTTGTTAAAGGGCAGGGGAAAAAACAAGTTACACAGAAATGAATGGGCAGCTGATGGATGTCGGATCACTGAGGTTTGACTGAACCTTATAGCAGCGGGGATTTCCCCTACAGGGTCCTCTCTGATTTCTTTGTTTGTAAAGTGGCGTTGAGTAATCTGTGTATCCATGTACCTCGATGGCAACCCAAAGAGCATCAGCCGGACACAGTTGACACTTTGGCATAAATAATAGAACCGCATTTTCAGCAGAGCTTGTTTGCTAATTAGAGCAAGCTCCATCAGCAGAAGTGGATATATATCACATTTGAAAGTAGTAGGAACAATGCTTTTTTATCATTTGACATTTCTTTGCCCTAAAGAATCAAATCTCTCGGTCATAGCTTCAGCCCACTGAAAGCAATGCATTTCTCAATTTTTCCAACGGGGCAGTAGAACTCTCACTTGTTGACAAATCATTGAGTTGTCTTGTAATGATATATGATTGAGGTCGTCTGTGTGACTCCCAATCACCCAATCATTCATCACTATTGCTGGTACAGACATGCCTCCTCACAGCTGATTTAAATTGCCAGTTCTTGTTGTTTTTAGTCCTTTTATCTAAGAGCAGAACAAGCTTCGAATGATAAACTTTTTAAAAGTTACATATGAGAGAGCCTGCGGTGGTTTGACAACAGTGATCACCCTGCTTTTTGTTTCAAAACAACGATCCAGAGTGAGAAAAGCTACTTCTATAGAATGCATTTCTCCTCAACTCAATGCTGCATTTACACTCAGTTCAATAACACACCAATGGGCTGAGGTAATGATTGCTCCTTAACTACCCGGTCTAATCTACTCATGACATTTATGACTCTAACACATTTGTCAATGTGCTTTACAGTGACAGAAGTGAGCGTCTGTGGATCACCATGAGCGTATGATTACTGCGGCTAGAAATAGTGAACTAATTAATAAGTGGTTAGCTGATGACTCATTTCATTGTTGCCTTTAGTGTCCTGATTGCTCTTGAAATACCATTGATAATACCATTCACCATGGGTATCTATGAAATAATTTATTTTGGCACAATTAGCATGATTTCAATTTTCATATCTTATGCATTTTTATACAAAAATACATCACTGTAATATTCATCTCTAGTCATCTCTAGAATGTTATGATAACTTGAGTAGTCATGTGCAATGAGTATTGTCACAGCAAATTGCTTTGCTTGGTTAGACTAGAAAGACATTTTAACATTTTAAACTGATTTAATTTATTTATATGCTTATAAATTTATATTCAATACATGCATACCAGAGCAGCAAGAAAGTTGGAAAGACTAAGCGACAGTGTTTTTATTTTATTTTTGTGTTTGACATTTCTGTGGCACTAATCTCTAAAGGACAAGTAATGGAGTCAAGTTGTATAAATTATTACAGTAATTGTTTAGCAAGCTATGGTCTGTACATGACAGAATGTGCATTTGAACTACAAATCCAGCATACAGATAAATAAAACATGCTCATGTAATACATTCATATACGTATTAGTAGCTGCACTGATCTGCATATTTACATCAGTGTAAAGTTGTTTCTTAAATATTCAATATTTATTTTATTGTCAACAATTCCCAACGACCAATGTGTTCGTGGGTCACTTAATACTTCATAACCTCCCTAGCTTGTGTGTGGTTCTCAGCCCCAAGCATATTGTTTCCTACTTATAAGACATAAATCTTGACAAAAAGGTCACAAATGTACACTTTCATTTAAAAAATGAAAATAAATCCCTTACAATTTCCCACTGCAGGACTGTTAATGTGAGATCCCCTTAAAATACACGACAGTGCCCAGGTTTATCATAATAGAATAAAATGACTCCTCCTTTAAGCCTTGCATTTAGTAGGCAGAGCTGCCGGTATTTTAACAAAAAAATATAGCACGTTTGAGAACTCTTTTGTTAATAAAGTCTTGATTAAAAAACCTGTTTCCTTACAATACATTTATTCACGTAAATCATACTGTGAGTGGCATATTATTTGCACAATCATGAAATTGTGCATGACAGATGACAGAGACTGTTGTTGTAATCAATGCACAACATGTCTCTCTCCCTCAACAGGATAAATGTTTAATCATAACAATGCATCACGTCTATATTACTGTAAAGAAACTTGAAAAATCAAAGATGTATCAATAAGATGTAAGAACACTATGCAGATTCAAACATCTGGTCATCTCTATAAGTCTATAACCTTATCCTCTCAGCTCATTTGCGCAGTGAGCCATTAAAACACTCATTAAACATCTTGATGAGGATTGACCCATGCAGCTGCTCGAGCATAAAGCACCTTATCACACATAAACACTCTGGATACAACAGTGTCTCAACTTCAACATAACAAATGAGACCAAATGTTCCTCTCAAAGCCTGGTCTATTTATCTTGACTCGTGACACACAAAGCTTCTTTTCTTTTTATCTGGCCGGGGAAAATTTGAGCTCTGATGTGGATGAGAATTTATAGCCTAATGTAAATGACAAGAAAGATATAAAGCAGTAAACATCTATGAGCATGAGACTACCTAAGATGGCATGCTTATTAATTTAGTTACAGGTATGAGGACTTTTGAGAACACTCTTTAGTGCAAACTTAAGCATTGTTATGTTGCTGGTGTCACCTATTTTCAAAAGCTGCCGCAATGTTTATAACTATTCATCTGAACAAGAGAGAAAAACAGCACAGATTGTGTGATCCTGACCATTTAATCATTATACTGAACTGTGTGATAACGGGCATCTGTGTGTCTTAAGTGGAGCAAAGCAAGTGCTTCTCTGGGTCGAGTCACAGTTCAGTGCACAATCACAAATGAAAAGCATTGAGCATTCCTGTCCGACTCCTTTCTCTCTATCTGACTTGTGTCAAAACTCTTCTTTTTCCTTCCAGTCCGAATGCTCTATTCAGAGCCTCAAGCCACCCACACCATCCATTTATTTGTGTAGATGGTGAGAGTGCGTGTGTGTGTGTGTGTGTGTGTGTGTGTGTGTGTGTGTGTGTGTGTG